GAGGCGTGCATTCTTGACCACAAAAGTGCAAGAGGTCATATGGCCGAGAAGTTGCAGACAGTCACCTGCGGGCTGTTTTGCAACTTGGTGACAAGATTCTTTATGGTGTTGAATCTATTGGATGGGAGAGATGTTGTGGAATCGAGGCGAGTGCCTACGAACTCTAGACGTTGAGTAGAAGTTAATGTGGATTTGTTTTTGCTTATTTGTAGGCACAGACCCTGGAAGAAGTCAATGGTTATCGGTGTGGCTTGGATGGCCTCCTCGAGAGTCTGTGTCTTGAGCAGGCAATCGTCCAGGTAAGGAAAAATTATGACTCCTTTTTTCCATAGGTGCACCGTTGCCACCACGAGAATCTTGGAAAAGACGCGGGGTGCTGTTGAGAGGCCAAAGGGCAGAACCCTGTACTGGTAGTGATTTGAGCCCATAACAAATCTGAGAAAATGCCTGTGGGCGGGGTGTATAGTTACATGAAAATAAGCATCCTGCAGGTGGAGGGCTGAAAACCAATCTCCCTGCTCCAGTACTGGAATTATGATTGTGAGGGTAACCATTTTGAATTTTTGCCTTTTGATGAACTTGTTGAATCGCCTGAGGTCAAGGATGGGTCGCCATCCCCCACTTTTCTTTTCTGTCAAAAAGTAGTGGGAATAAAAACTCTTTCCCCTGTGCTGACCGGGCACCGTCTCGACTGCTCCTATTTGTAGGTGATGTAGCACCTCTTGGTGGAGCAAGTGGTCATGAGGGGGTCCCTGAAGAGGGACAGGGTGGGGGTGGGTATGGACAGGATGGGGATGGAATAGCCCAATCGGATGACCTCTAGGGCCCATCTGTCCATACTGAGGGCTCGCCAGTTGCGGTAGAATGGGAGTAAATGGTGACCAAAAAGTTTGATGGGAAGTATAAGCCCTCAAGTGTGTGGGAGGTCTTCTATACCCTTGACCAAGGCTTCAGATCTGCTTATTAGATGGAGGGGGTTGGGATGGTGCTGATATTGTGGGGCATCGTCATTGATGCCTGGGTCTCTGGTGGTGTTGCTGGTCATACGGCCTCTGTTATTATGTAGGCCAGGTATTGTGGGCACTGGTAAGGTTGATACAGTAACTCCCCACTTAACATCCTCTCGCTTAACGTTGTTTCGATCTTACGTCCCTGCTCAATTACAGAACATGCTCCATTTAAAGTTGTGCAATGCTTCGCTGTAACATTGTTTTGCTGCCTACTTTGTCCACAGCTGGCAGCCCCCCATCAGCTCCCCATAGTGCTTCCCGCCTGTCGGCAGACCCCGTGGATCAGCGCCTTCCCCCTCCTCCCCCTGCCCGCGGCAATCAGCTGGCTTGCGGCATTCAGGAGGGAGGGGGTAGGAGCGAGGACTCGGCGTGCAGGCTCCCCGTCCCTCCCCTGCCCCCAGAACGCCGCAAGCCAGCTGATGGCGCGCAGGCTCCCCCCTCCATCCCCTGCCTCCTACCCGCGGCAGAGTCTGCGCTCCTCCCCCCTCCCTCCTGCCCCCTGAACGTCGCAAGCCAGCTGATTGCTGTGGGCAGGAGGGAGGACGCAGCGTGTGAAGTAAAAGGGGAGGAGGGGGGGAAGAAGAGGCGGGTTAATGGTGGGGGCTTGGGGGAAGAGGCGGCGTGGGTGGGCCGAGGGTTGAGCCCCGCCCCTCGTGCTTGCAGAGTAGGGGAAGCTGCCGCTGCTGCTGCGCAACATGCTTCTCCTAGCCTACAGCACCTTCAGCCTCCTTGGCTGCCTCATTATCTCCAGTGCCGGTGGGCTGTGCCTGTGTGGAGTAAGGCGAGGGCATCTCCCAACTATAGTACTGTACTGTATGGCAAAAAAAAATTCCCTGGAACCTAACCCCCCCCATTTACATTCATTCTTATGGGGAAATTGGATTCGCTTAACATTGTTTCACTTAAAGTCGCATTTTTCAGGAACATAATTACAACGTTAAGTGAGGAGTTACTGTACCTGTATTGTCTTCTTCTAGTTGCCAGTGTATGGATGCCTAGGGATCTGAGCGTCGCTCTGGAATACTTTATGGTGTGCAGCACCTCGTTGGTTTTTGCTGCAAATAACTTCTTGCCATCGAAGGGGAGATCCTCCATGGTGTTTTGTATCTTGCGTGGGAAAGAAGAAGCGGTAAACCATGAAGCCCAACGCATCACTATGGCAATCGCGGTGGACCTGGCAGCTGTGTCTGCAGCATCAAGAGCAGCCTGCAATGTCGTGCAGGAAATAATCTGTCCTTCAGAGACTACTGTTTTGAATTGTTGTCTCTTGTCCTCTGGGATGTCATTAATAAAGTCCATGAGTTTCCCGTAATTTCTGTGATCGTATTTGGCCGGTAGGGCTGCGTAGTTTGCCACTCTAAATTGTAGCATGGATGATGCATAAACTTTGCGGCCGAGTAGGTCCATTCTTTTGCTGTCCTTGTCAAAGGGAGTGGACTGGAAATGCTGCTGTTTGTTCTTTTGGTTGGCTGCTTCTACCACCAGTGAATTTAGTGCTGAGTGCATGAAAAGGAATTCTGGCCCCCTGGAGGGGACATAGTATTCTGGTCTACCCTTTTGCAGGTAGGGAGTATGGTGGCTGAGGTTTGCCAGATATTCTTGGCAGGGTCCATAATGGCTCCATTAATAGGTAGGGCAATCTTGGAGGAGGTCGAAGGTTGTAATATGTCAGTCAGCTCATACGGAGTCTCCGACACCTCCTCCAGAGTGATCTTGAGCTCATTAGCCACTCTTTTGGAGAGGTCCTGAAAATGAGTAAAATCATCCACTGTTGTTGGGGGTAGAGGCATGATAGCCTCTACTGGTGAGGTGGATGAATTATTATTATTATTTGGAGAGGGTTCAGGTGCCTCCTCATCTGCATGCACCATTGCAGGTTGCTCCTGTCTGTCCGTCGCAGAAGTGTGGACAGGTACAGGAGGAGATCTAATGTCGCCTCTGCGTGGGCTATACCAGCGACTGAGGTGCCTGCTGTAGGACCCCCCTGGGTTCCAATAATGCCATTGTCCAGGAAGGGCATGGGTGGTTCCATCCACGGGTGTCCATACCAGGGTGGTAAGTCCTTGGAATATGAACCCCTTGGTCTCCTTGGTCCCATGCTAGCGGGAGTGTGAAGGGGGGAGGAATGGTATGGTGAAAAAACTCCCTCCACTTCATCGTCCTCATCACTAGAAAAGTGAGAGGGAATAAGGGATATCTGTCGGTGCCGTGCCTACGGTCCCAGTGAGAGATTGGTACCAAGTAATGGGGAATCTGGAGTTGGCGAGATTAGCAAATCGCTGGAATGAATAAATTGTGGTGACGAAGTAGAAGGAGCCAGAATATATAGCGCTGGGTGTGGCGGCAGTGCCATAGATTCGGCCGGTGCCGATTGGCACGGCGCCATATGGGGAGTCATAGGTGGTTGAGGTGTCAGAGCCAGGACAGCAACTGTAATTGTGTGCGGCACAGGCAGGCTCAGCTGAATAGGCACCGAGTCCTTTGCGGTGCTGTGCTGCACCGTATTAGAAGAGGCAGGCAACTTTAAGCCTGTAGCCTCGGCACCGGAGCGGTATGTACTGGCAGCAGCTGGGGTACGGATGCTGGAGCATCGTATGTGCTGAGCCGTGGAGCGGTCAGCACCAACGAGACAGACCTGGTTGGAGACCATTTGGATACAGGCTGGTCTCTGTGAGGTGATGAAGCTGGCCTTTTTTTGTTGTTTTCTTGTCCTTGGTGAACTTAGGAGGTCTCTGTCTCAAGTAGGACTCCTGACCTAGGTCAGAGGCAGGTCTGAGGGACTTCTCCACTAGAATTAACTTGAGTCTCAAGTCTCTGTCCTTTTGTGCCCTAGCCTTCAGTTTACTGCAGTGGGAACATATTTGGGGGACGTGGGACACCCCCAAACAGCGAACACATTGAGAATGGCCATCAGAGATAGGGATGGTCTCTCTGCACGTAGTGCATCTCTTAAAACCTGACGAGCCAGGCATAGTATAAACTGTCTAACTGACAGAAAAAAACTGGGAAGGGGGAAATGAAACTTATCTGACTAAAAAAAACCACCCTAGATAAACTGTATAAATAATTATCTATCTAAAGCGAGAAATAATTGAGTGAGACTGCTGAGCTCCATCTCAGGCTGGGGACGGTAGAGAAGGAACCGAGGAGCTCGGGCCGCGCGTGTGCGTTATTGAGGCACATTCAGCGCGTGAGGCAGGCACCGCGCACGAGCGGCCCGTACAAGTACTGCTGTAAAAATCTCCAAGCGAAGGCACAGGGGTGCACCAAAACCTGGAATGGAGTATCCACAGGGACATCTCTCAAAGAAGAACATTTCGTTCTGTAAGGAAGATTCAGACACATTCACTTCTTAGAGAGGAGGTCGAAGGAAGCAGAACACAAAAAATCGACCCAAATAAGGTTGGAAGATGCAATTTTGAGGGATTTAAAAAGCCTAAATGCTCCCTTACTGACTCTTGCCAAAGGAAGATGACTTGCACAACCATTCAAGATGGAAGCCTGCTTCATTCTACATGCCACCATGGCTACATCATAGCCATGTGATGCTGCTCACTACTTAGCTGCCTTAATTTCATTTATTCTAGGTAAATTCTAGGGAGGTCTCTTAGCTCAAACCCCTTCATATTTGTAGGGTTTCTCTTGCTACTACTTAAGTCAGGTAATTCTCTTATAGTCTCACAGCATATTCAATTAAAATTAAAGAGTACTCTGGTCTTGCAAATATATTCATGAAATAATAATTTTCTCTAGCCTTAATTTTTTTAAAATTAGGCTTCTTTTTTTCTTTTTCAAGATCTTAAATCAAGATGAAATATTGGTTCATATTAAAGAAGTTTAGGATTCTCCGAAGACTTGGGATCTGTATCCAAAATGTAAAGACATTTCCCGTCTACCTAAATCAAACAAAAGGCTGCTGATACACAGCACAACACTGTGCTGCCCAGAGCATCATCAAGGGCGCTCTGTACACACTAACACAAACGTTACCTGTTTCTGAGGTATCCCCTGCTTTCTCCAACTTTTCTCCCTGTTCCTCCTCCGATACATTAGACAGTTGTCTTTTCACCTCTTTGTATGAACTTCCTCCAGATGTTACACTTGCCACAGATATCAATGGGATGGCCTGGCTCTCCTGAGGGAAACGAGAGATGAAGATTTACACAGATTCACATGTGTACACAGTTTCCTGTGTCTTGCAGTGCTGCATATGGAGCAGATTACATGTTAGGATCTTTAAAAAGGGGGAGATAACTGCAGTCTCTTTGGGCTTTCCGGCTTTGGATGTGTTATTCAATGTCATCTTTGTGTAGCAAAACCTAGGTTCACAGGTACTCTGTGGCTAACATAACATCATTAGCCAGACATACCGCTTCTTTCTTTTCTCAGTCTCACCTAACACACAATATATTTGTACTCTCTCTGATGGGGTGTAGCAGGCATTCGATGCCCCCTGCTGGAGGCCCTACCACCTTGGCACACTCCATCCAAAGGTGGGGCTCGGGTCGTGGGGGGTGCAGGAGTCAGGGGAGAGGGCTGTGTGTGTGTGAGGGGGGTGCAGGAGTCAGGGCGGGGGAGTGTGAGGGGAGTGCAGGAGTCAGGGCAGGGGGCTGGGGTCGTGGGGGTGCTCCCAGCCCCCTGCCCTGAGCATCTCACAGCAGGGGGCTGGAGGGGGTATGCCCTAATTCCACCCCCTTCCCCAAGGCCCCGCCCCTGCCTCTTCTCCACCTCCTCCCCCCTCACTCCGGCAAACAGCTGATCGTCAGCAGGGAGAGGGGGAGGGGCGGGAACGCAGCACGCTGGGCCAAGAGGCGGGGGAGGGGGCAGCTTGGATGCCAGCGGAGCCTGCCCTGCTGCAGCAGGACAGAGCCCCAGGAGCAGGCAGCACCAAGCTTCTGCCCCCAGGAGAGAGCGGGGGGAGGAGAAGAGCAGCCGGGCCGGGGCCCCTTTGGAGCGTGGGCCCGATGCCATGGCGCTACTGGTGCCATGGTAAATCTGGTACTGCCTCCAGTGGCTAGTAGGGCCAGATGCAGGCCAAAGCTATCAGGTCCCAACAGGCAAGATAAAAAACTAAAATTAGAGTGAGCTTGCTGTGTGAGACACTCCACTGGTTCAGGCTAACCTGTGACAGTCCCATTAGCTCTGCAGAGCCTCTGAATTTATGAGAGAGAGATTCTAACTCAATTATGCAAAGTGTGGGCCATTGATGATCGTTTAGAACCTTGATGGCTCCCATTGACTAGGACAATTGGTTGTAAATGGCTCTGTTTACTTGCAAGCCTTCCTGTGTTCGGGTAAGCCAGCCCAGGAAGAATGGTGGAAACCATCTTAAAACTGCTAATTTTCCATTTAGAAGGAGGGGTGGGGATCCAGAGAGACAAAAGATTCCCGCCTTGTGCCAAAGCTATAAAAGGGGGTGGAGCAGAACAAGGCGGCAGCAGTCATGAGAACACCCCTGTTTTTCACCTAAGATGCCTGCTGGAACTAACAAGGACTGTACCAGGGGAAAGGATTGGGCCCAGACTAGGAAGGAGTCTAGTCTGTGAAAGAAGCTTATTGGAACATCTCTAAGGGGGAGATTTACCTGTAAACAGCTTCTTAATGTATTAGGCTCAGACTGGCATGTTTTATTTTATTTTGCTTAATAACTTACTTTGTTCTGCTTGTTATTACTTGAAGCCACTTAAATCCTACTTTTTAAACTTAATAAAATCACTTTTGTTTATTAATTAACCCAGAGTAAGTGATTAATACCTGGGGTAGCAAACAGCTGTGCATCTCCCTCTATCAGTGTTATAGAGGGCAGACAATTTATGAGTTTACCCTATATAAGCTATATACAGAGTAAAACAGATTTATTTGGGGTTTGGATCCCATTGGGGTCTGGATGCTGGAGACAGGTGACCTGCTGAGCCATTAAAGTCTGCAGCTTTGAGGGCATGGACCAGACCTGGGTCTGTGTTACAGCAGGCTAGCGTGTCTGGCTCAACAAGGCAGGGTTCTTGAGTACCAAGCTGGCAGGGAAAATGGTCTCAGAGGTAATTCCAGCATGTCAGGTGACAGTCCCAAGGGGGTCTATGTGACCAAACCCATCACACCATACTATCAAATGTTTAGTAAGATCCCCAAGTTAATGAGAAAATGAGTCAATGCACATTCTGACCATGCTCTTCAGGGTCCAAGATAAGCCACAAGGCAGACTTGAGTAGGGTGCAAAAGTCCACACAGAGTTAACTGAAGCAGGTCCTAACCCTTCCAGGGCAGGGATTCCCTGCAACAGTCTAGTCAGGACCTTGACAGGCCTGTCCTGGATAGCACAGACAGCCCAAGAGCCCTTTTTGTAGTAAAGCAAAGAAATAGTCCCAAAAAACAATAGTCCTGTGTCAGACCTATGATCCTCCGGGGAGTTCTGGCAGGCAGCAGTCTCTGCAGAGGTTCTGAGCTGGTCCTTTCCTCAGGGACCAAAGGACAGGAGTCTGTGCTCCTTGCTGGTCAGCCACCTACTGAGTTGTTCTCTTCCCTTTTAATTACCCCCTTCATCACCAGACACTGAGTGCAGGTGTAACAAGGTGAGGCTGAGTGGGCCCATTGCAGATCATAGACTCATAGACTTTAAGGTCAGAAGGGACCATTATGATCATCTAGTCTGACCTCCCGCATGATGCAGGCCACAAAAGCTGACCCACCCACTCTTGGAATAATTCTCTCCCTTGACTCAGCTGTTGAAGTCCCCAAATCATGATTTAAAGACTTCAAGTCGCAGAGAATCCTCCAGCAAGCGACCCCTGCCCCATGCTGCGGAGGAAGGGGAAAAACCTCCAGGGCCTCTGCCAATCTACCCTGGAGGAAAATTCCTTCCCAACCCCAAATATGGCGATCAGCTGAACCCCGAGCATGCGAGCAAGATTCTCCAGCCAGACCCTCCGGAAAAAAGTTCTCTGTAGTAACTTTTAATATCCCATCATTGACCATTGTTACTAATTACCAGCGATGGCACGTTATTGACCTATTGACTAAAATCACGTTATCTCATCATAACCCTTGCTCACTCAGAGTGGGGTTGGTATGCCCCCATCAGATACACCTACAGCCATGAAATGACACGTTTTCAAACCTCCATGTGGCAGTGCGACGACTCACCGGCGCGGTGCCTCCTGCTGGTCATCCTGGGAATTAGCTCTTCCAGCCCGGAGCACCCTCTGCAGGCCGGTGTCGCACCCTCCGCTGGCCCCCGGTGCCCCTCTATGTCAGGGTTCTTCCCCCAGCAGTAACCCACAATCTGGGTCTCCCCACCCAGGGGAACTCCCAACCCCCTATCCACACCTTGCCTCAGTGGCTACTACCAGCCACCATCTAGCCCCCGCTCACTGGGGTGGACTGCAATCTGTAAACCACTCATCACTGGCAAGGGGGGTTTGGACCTGCTGCCTTTCTTAACCCTGGGCTGCACCTCTGCAACCCCATACCCTTCCCAGCCTTTAGCAAGGCCTGCAGCCTGGGGGTTTTCCAGGCTGGAGCTCCCCAGCTCCTCTGGCCTTCCCCCAGCCCTGCTCCACTCTAGGTACCTTGCTCAGCTACCAGACAGCCAGGCCATTCTCTCTTCACTGCTAGAGAGAGACACTTTTTCAGTCTCTGGCCCTCAGCCCTCTTATAGGGCCAGCTGTGGTCTGATTGGGGCGTGGCCCCACCTGTGGCTGCTTCCCCCAATCAGCCCAGCTTTTCCCCTGCCACAGCCCTCTCCCAGGGCTGTTTTAAGCCCTTCAGGGCAGGAGCGGGGTGACCACCCCACTACACTCCATCACATCTTCAATCCCATTTATTTTAAAATTCAAAATATATAATTCATATTCCAGAATAAGAATAAAATATACTACTTAAAGGAAAGTGCTTTTTAGTAACAGAGACATAAATATGCCCCAGAACTGCAACAGGCAGGAAGGAAAAGAATGGCTCAAGATAAGCCACCTTCCAGAAACATGTAAGAGTTGTTAAGAGACAACACCTGAACTATTAGCCTTCATGATTTTGCCTCCTATCCAGCCCACCTACAGCCCTGGTTTGCACCAGGACAGGCAGAAGCATGGGAACATGAAAGAACAAGGGAGCTCTGGCAGAATTAAAAGGGACCCTGTCCGCAGAGATGGGGAGTAACTGTTCAGGGGAACCAAGCTGAGACACAGGACCCCTCTGAGGACGTCTGAAGAAGTAGGCCTGCCTAGGTTTCCATCGGGATGGTAGGACTCTAGGTAAGAGAGATGTGTGCAGACAGTTTTAAAATTCCTTTTTCTCTTATGCTTTGTTCCTACTGCAAAAACAAACAATATTTTGATTTAAGATGGCTGTTTGTCACTGTTTCCCTAGTCACAGGCTCCCAAAGGGAAGAACAGCAGGTGCACAAGATCAGTTGAATCTGCAGGGCAAGCACAGCTGCTACACAGGATACTATAGGCCAGAGCCCAGTCCAGGAGCAGGAGAACAGACATTTCACAGGTGTGACCCTAAGAGCCACTTTGTGCCAGCTAGCAAAAGGCAAATAAAACACACTGCTGTCAGAATATTTAGCCAGACACCATCTTGCAAGGTATCATACAAAAACTGATGACACACTGGTCATGGATATCATTGTGTGATGTATAAAGGCTTCAGGACCAGATTGTATTTACATTCACACCTAATCTACCTAGGTATCCAGCAAACAGAGCTGTGTTACCCAAGTGATAGATTTTGGCTGGGGTTGGGTTACAGATCACTTGAATGCGGGGGGTGGGGGAGAAGAAATGTTGTTCGTATTGTATGAGTAAAAGGCAGTAGAACTGTACTTAGCCTGTGCTGATTGAGGGCATCGAGAGAGGGTGGGGACCTGTCCTTCTCCACTGTTTAAAGACAGAGCTGATTAGGCTCCATAGATAGTCTTTTGTTCTGTTAAGTGACCACTGCAGCTGAAATCACTGATAATCAGGTCTAAGTGCTTAGTCCTCCTGTGTTTCTGTGGAAGAGACAGCCCAGACTGCAACAGCAGCGAGATTCCCCCACTGAGAGCTCAGCTGAAATCACTGAGAGCTGGGTGGAACCTCAAGAGACCAACTCACAGAGGTCACACAGTGGCAGGTGGCAGCAGAAGGTGACTGCGCAGAG